ATCTCAATAAATCGCACATAGGAAATTGCACTCATTCAAGACTTCAAAAAAAATTAAGCACACAGACTTATTCGGATTAGAAGTCAGGACAAGGTTATCCGGATTAGATATCCGGAAAAAAAGATAGTCAATAATTTCTAATCAAACCAAGTTATCCGGATTGGATATTCGGACAACAAAGATAATCAAACTGGCTCAATACACAACAAATTCGGATGAAAAATCCGATGATTTTAAACACTTAGTCAAATTCGCACAAATGAATACGGACGTAAAAAGTCAACAAGTCAAGTCAACCTAGTCAACAAGTCAAGTCAACCTAGTCAACAAGTAATATATATGAACAAATCCGCTCAATTTTAAAGTCAACAATTCAAATCACTCAAATAGTCAAAGATATCAATCCTCTCACAAAAGAAAGTCAAAATCCATTCAACAATCCGTTCACTAAGTTAAAATCAAAGTCAAAATATGATCAAAGATTAAATTGCATATAACATGACCAAGATTAAATCACACAAATAAATCGCACAATTAACAACCTAAATCGCACAACACATCAACTAAATTGCACAACAAATCAACGATATACCAGGCGGATAAGAAAATTACTCACTAAATCGCACACGTTACAAACGATTTAAAATCTAAATCGATCAAACTTTACCCGGTTTATTCTAAATCGAACAATCACAATTCACAAAAAAATCACAAGTCTTAAATCAAACAAGCTCTAGGCGATTTACACTAAACCGATCAAGAGTTATATGGATTAAAATTCAACCAAAAACACAATATTAAACACTTTTTCACAAAAAATTTGGATCAAAACATGAAAAATTATGAATTTTTTAAGAACACAAATAGTTTTCTTAAACTCAAAAATCGATCAAAATAGGTTCAAAACTTGATTAAAATAAAAATTGATGTTAATCAAATATGTTCAGGTTGAAAATGCGAATCTAATAGTGCAAATTATATCAATTAACACTCAAAATCGATGCGATTAAAGCCAAAAAATGTACAATTTTGTCGATGAACTAAAGAACAGATGAATAACAGTCAAGAATAGTCCGCTTAAATCCCCTAAATCCGTGCAAATTTCCTCGAAAAATTGAAAATCCTCTAAAACAAATCGCTGCAATCTGTGCTCTGATACCAGTTGATGTTCCCAAATCATACAAAATCAAAATTAATCTTCAAGATCAAGAACTAGATTGAGTAGTGAGAGATTTTCACCAAATATTCTATTTGATTTCTTGAGAGAGAATTACAAATGATTAATAGCATTAATCAGATTAACAACTGAACTAATGACAATTAGAGAACTAAATCCTATTTATACTAAGGAAAATAGTAAAGTCTAACTATTACAAAAACATTACAAAGGGAGAACTTGAATACAACTTTAAAGCTTATTCTTGAACCCAACACGCACTAATTATTTAGTGCTTGAACACTATTTTCTTCTCTTTTAGATAGGACATTTTCTATTTATATCCCAACATTGAGTCATTTCATTCCTTTATTTTCCACTTTTCTGTTATGAAGCTAGGATGAATGATTTACCTATTTTTGTTATATAATGGATTAATATAGATTTATTTTGGACAATTTGAAGCTATTTGATGCTGCAGGGATGCTGCAACATGACCTGACAATGAAGAAATAGAAGAGAAAGGACATGATGCTGACTAACATGACCTTAGCTGATTTTTGAATGACATCTTATGTTTGGACAACTGTTTATTTTGTAATTAGCTAGAAACTTGTTGGCTAATTTAGTTACTTTAGACTTTAAATATTTACTTTATGGTACTTTTAGTTGCTTTAAGACTAGATTAGTATGAAATGTCTATTTTGCCCTCGTCTCTACCTTAGTATAAATAGAGATATTGTGGTTAGTATTTTGATCATCTCATCTAATTTTCAAGTAGTTGTCTTACTACTTGTAGAATATTTTATCTCTCTAGAAATACAAGTAATCTTTTGGCTAATCTCAAGCTTTCCTTAGATTGCTTTTTATTTTCTTGTTATTTAATTTCCGTCATTTATTTATTATGTTTTCTTGCTCTTTATTTTACATCATTTATTAATTACGCTTTCCGCATTTTATTTCCCGTCATTTACATTTCATTATTTATTTTTATGTCTTTATTTATCGTACTTTATATTTCTTGCCATTTACTTTCCGTCATGAGTAGCTAAATTTCTTAGCTCGGGTGTATGACGGAAAGGGTGAGTTTGTAAAGCAAAATAAGTTAGACCCTTTTATGTAACAACAATGTTTCATTATTTAATTTGAAGTTTTATAAACCAATAACACTTCTTGACGAGTTGATCACTGAAAAGTGTTAAAGTGCCATGGACTCTAAGCTTAGCCATTGATTGCACGTCAATTTGGATGATATAGGAAGTAGACTTGAGAGAGTTGCTAACAAAGAGATTTGCTATTCGTATTTTCTAAATTGTTAATTATCGAGAGAGTGATTTTTAACAAAGAGATTTGTTTATCCATATATTTTGAGGACACCATTCTTGAATACAACATTCTGAAATCATTTTCTTACTATTAGGGTGTGTTTGGTTTGCAGGAATGGAATGAATTTGGGGGGATTTGGATTTTAAATCCATTCCAATCCTATGTTTGGTTTGGCAAATTGAAGGGATTTGGAATCCGAGGATTTGATTAAAATCCAGTGTACGCGGGATTTGGAAATCCTTTGCAAAGGTGCGGGATTTGGAAATCCTTTGATTAAAATCCGGCTTTTCCTTCCAATCGCTTCCCTTCCATCGCTTCACTGACCTTCCTCCCGCTTCCTTCACCCATATTCCCGCCCTAAGGTCGCTTCCCTCCCATCGCTTCCCTTCCATCGCCGGTGCTCCCTTCCCACACGTTGCGAAGCTGTGCCCTAAGGTCGTCTCGCCGGTGCTTCCTTCCCGTCTGTTGCGAAGCTGTGCCCTAAGGTCGTCTCGCCGGTGCTCCCTTCCCGCCTTGAGCCAAAATGCCTTTCTTGTTCGCCGCCTTCTCGCATCACTCTCAGCAGGTAAATCATATAACACCTTTTGGTTATTTGCTTCTAAGGCATGCTGATGTATGGTCTACCATGAGTTAGGGATCGTCAATTGATAATTTGGAACTATGGCTATTTTTCTAGAGCTCCACCTGATTTGCACAGTGAGATTAAAGATTAGCCTGATTTGCACATATGTGGCTTGTGATGAGCCTTTCTACTTTTGATGCAATCGATATGGTTGATTGGTTTTTGCCACACAGCAAGACTGCCTTTTTCTATCACTTTTTTCCAACAAAGACGTTTGGCAACATCCTCAATACCATCTTGTTCATGTTTTAAATCTTCTTGCGTTCTATCCCAACCTTTCCAAGACTTCTTCCAGTGAATAGGAGGTCCAGAAAGTATCCATTATCCACCAGGCCTTAGAACTCTATCCACTTCAATTAGATATAGTCCATCTACACATCAATCACAAATAAATCAAACTAATTAATTCATTAGCATAGAAGAATGACATACATAAGCCAAAAGCTATATATACAATACTTACTCCACACCCTGTATCAAGTGCAGTCCACACCCTGGTCTGGTTTTATGTCTCAATAAAGTTTTGGGGTCTAATTGCCTAAATAATTCCAACATGTTTGTCATGAATCCTTCTTCGTCTGCATATGCTTCATACCCGTAAACTTGCAGCTTGGCCAACCATCACTACAACAAAATCGTCTTTATAAGACGTCAAATATGTCTAAATTCCTAATATTTTGTTTTATAGGACCTATGTTTCTTCCCTAGATTTGGTGATTAAACTAATTACAAAAAAAAATTCAATTCAAATCCAAATCCAAATCCTACAAACCAAACAGAGGAATGGATTTCAAATCCAATCCAAATCCTGCAAACCAAACACAGGAATGGATTTTAAATCCAATCCAATCCAAATCCCATGGAATCCAAATCTCTCCAGGGAATCCAAATCCCTCAGAAACATTCCTGCAAACCAAACGCACCCTTTACTTTCATCTAAACTTTTACTACGATCCTTGTGGACGATATCCGGTACTTGTACCACTTTATTACTTAAAATATGATATTGAGACTAATTGTATACTTGCTATTGGTCCTAGTAGTAAGTCTGTGGGTATGTGAATACGGACCCGATCAAGTTTTTGGCACCGGTGCCAGGGATTGGCAAGCTATTAAGTTTTTCTGTAAGTAACTTTAAAGATTTGATTTTTCTAACACCGTTTGATCCGCTTTTAAGAGGTGTATGCCATGGATATAATACGAGGAGTTTCTCAAATTCGATCTGGATATTGAGAGAACATTCTGCCAAAGAAGAAGGGCTCAAAGAGCAAATTCTGCTCTACTCCCTCCTAATATGGTGTTACCTCCCCCTCTTGACAAAGAAGTACCAATTCAAAACCCACCAGCCTTTGGTCAAATACCACAATTTCAACCTTTTTTACCAAATGCACCACCTTTTCAAAACCCACAGGACATCCTTTTCAACAAGGGCCAACAAATCATGAAGATGCACATAATGACAGAATCTGAAAATAATGATCATCCAAGAGCTCAAACTCCAAATATAATTAATCTTGCAAACTCTAGAAATGGAAGAATCATGGACTATGCTATTCCTGACTTTGAGCAATTGAACTTAGGGATAGTTAGACCTCATTTGACTTCCCTTTATTTTGAGCTTTAACCGATCATGTTCTATATGTTGCAAACAAATGGACAATTTGCAGGATTACCACCGGAAGATCCTCACTCACATCTAAAATCTTTCATGAAAATTATTGATGCCTTCATGATCCCAGGAGTGTCTAATGATGCTCTAAGACTTACTTTGCTTCCATTTTCTTTATAAATCGGGCAAAGTCTTGGTTTAATTCATTACCACCAGGTTCTGTACCATCATGGGGCAATATGGTCGAATTTTTTTTGCTAAAATATTTTCCACCCAACATGAACGCAAAGTCCAGAAATGAAATATGTCTGTTTAAACAAATGGACAATGAAGTTGTTCTCGATGCATGGAGAGGTTTAAAGAGCTGTTAAAGAAATGTCCACACCATGGCATTTCTTACTGCATTCAACTCGAGACATTCTACAATGGGTTAAGTCCCATGGCTAAACAAATGTTCGATGCGACTGCGGGAGGAGCCTTTACAACTAGTACCTACAATGAAGGGTATGAAATCCTTGAAAAGATTTCTGCAAACAATGGACACTGGCCTGATCCACGTGCTCAACTGCAAAAGAAGACAGCTAGAATTCATGATGTAGATGCATACACTGCATTAACAACACAACTCTCTTCCATAGCCAACATGCTTAAAAACCTAACTTTTGGTCAAGGAGTATAGCCAACTGTTACTACACCTATTCCATCAGTTCTCTCAGTGCAATGTGTTTGTTGTGGAAGGAACATTCTTATGAACTTTGCCCACATATTTCTGAATCTCTCAATATTGTTCATAATAGATCAAATCCCTATTCCAACATATGCAATGCCAGTTGAAGTCAGCACCCAAATTTTTCATGGAACAGTCCAAGTTTGAATGCACCTGTTCATAAGCAACAAGAAAACTCTAATTTTCAACCTCAACAACATGCAAGCAGTTCTAACTCTCAAAATCATCATCACCAAAATTATCAAGCTGCTCAACCATCTTTTCAAAACAAACCACCTCCACAATCTGAATCATCATCTTCTTTGGAAACTATGATAAAAGTATTGGTGGCTCAGTCTCAAGCTCAGCAGCAAGTGATGACCCAAAATCAGTCTCTTTTTAATCAACAAAGTGCTGCTATCAGAAACCTGGAAACTCAAGTCAGTCAACTTACGCTCAATCAAACCAATAGATCCCTTGGTACTTTGCCTAGTAACACATAAGTCACTAGAGATCTAGGAAAAGAGCATGTGTAGGTAGTGACTCTTAGGAGTGGGAAGGAAAAAAAAAAAGACCATACCAAAAAAAAAATGAACAGGTTGTGTCTAAACCTGAGACTACACTTTATGGTCCATGTTACTGAAAATCCACCAAAACCATTAGAAAACCAGTCATCTGAGGTTTCTACTTTTGTTCCTCCTTATTTAGACTATCCTCTGTTATTCCCAGAAGAAGTTTCTAGGCAAAAGCCAATTGAGGATGAGGTTATAACAGGTCCAAAGACCAAGGTTGTAACCCTATCTGAACCTCAAGAAAGTAAGACCAAGACTCTAGGCATTCTAGACCCATCTTGCTCAACACAGTCAAATAAAGCTATCATAAAACCAATTCCTCTTTATGTTCCTTTTCCCCAAAGGTTAAGAAATCAAAAGGAAGAATTGCAATTTAAGAAGTTTTTGGAAGTGTTTAAAGCATTGCACATCAACATACCTCTTGTTGAAGTAATTGAGCAAATGCCCATTTATGTCAAGTTCCTCAAAGACATCTTAAGTAAGAAAAAGAAGCTGAACGAATATGAAACTGTAGCTTTTACTGAAGGATGTAGTGTGCTTTTGACCAACAAGATACCTTTTAAGCTTAAAGACCTGGGGAGTTTCACTATTCCCTGTTCTATAGGTGGAAAGAAGGTTGGAAAAGCTTTGTGTGATTTAGGTGCTAGTATAAACTTTATGCCCTTGTCTGTTTTCAACACCTTAGGCATAGGAGAGGCTAGACCTACCACCGTCACACTACAATTGGCCAATAGAACTATTGTTTATCCAAAAGGTAAGATTGAGGATGTCTTAGTTCAAGTTGACAAGTTCATATTTCCAGCTGATTTCATCATTCTAAAATTTGAGGCTGATAAAGATATTCCCATCACCTTAGGAAGACCATTCTTAGCCACTGGTGGAACTTTGATTGATGTCCAATAAGGACAACTAACTATGAGGCTATAATACCAGAAAGTCACATTCAATGTCTTTAATTCCTTAAAGTACCCTGATTACTTGGACGAATGCTCAGGAATAACTGAGATAGAGGCAATGTGTCATAAAGAAGGAATTAGAAAGACCTGTAAGTTAGAGGAGGAAGATAGTGCTGAGATAAATGAAAAGACTATTGAGGATTTAGGAGATGACACTGCCCCACAAGATGCTGCAGCATTTAAGTTGTTGGAAAATAGAGAGCAAAAGAACTTTACCCAGTCCATAATTTCACCACCTGACCTGGAGTTGAAGCAACTCCTATCTTATTTGAAGTATGCTTTTCTAGGAGAAGAAGACAAATTGCTTGTCATCATATCATCTACCCTAGACTCACACCAAGAAAAGAAGCTTATAGACATGTTGAAGTTGCACACAAAAGCTATAGGATGGACCATTGCTGACCTAAAAGGGATTAGTCCTTCTATTTGTCAACATAAGATCATCCTAGATGACAAGAACTTCAAGTCTATAGAGCCTCAAAGAAGATTAATCTCTGTCATGAAAGAGGTAATGAAAAAGAAAATTTTGAAATGGCTAGATGCAAAAATAATTTTTCCAATAGCGTGTAGTTCTTGGGTTAGTCCAATTCAATGTGTCCCAAAGAAGGGAGGGTTTACAGTTGTCACCAATGACAAAAATGAACTCATTCCCACTAGAATAGTATCAAGATGGAGAATGTGCATGGACTATCTATCGTAGGCTAAACAAAGCCACCTAAAAAGACCATTTTCTCTTACCTTTTATTGATCAGATGTTAGACAGGTTGGCCGGAAAGGAATATTACTCTTTCTTGGATGGATACTCTGGATGTAATCAAATAGCCATATCACGCGAGGACCAAGAAAATACCACCTTCACTTGTCCCTATGGTAATTTTGCCTTTAGAAGAATGCCATTTGGACTCTGCACTGCTCCTGCAACTTTTCGAAGATGCATGATGTCCATATTTTCTGGCATGCTTGAAAAGTCCATAGAAATCTTTATAGATGATTTTTCAGTTTATGGTTCAAATTTTGATAATTGTTTGGAAAATCTAAAATAGAGTCTTGAGAGATGTAAAGAAACTGATTTGGTTCTCAACTGGGGAAAAATGTCATTTCATGGTTAAAGAAGGGATTGTTTTGGGACATTTGATTTCTAAAAGAGGAGTTGAGGTAGACAAAGCTAAACTTGAAGTTATTGAAAAACAACCTGAACCAACCACTGCCAAGGGAATAAGAACTTTGAAGGCCAAAGAACAGCAGTTAAAGTTTTAAAATCTGGTTTTTATTGACCAACTCTCTTCAAGGATGCCCACAATTTTGCACAAAGATGCAATGAGTGTCAAAGAAGTGGTTCCATTTCTAAAAGGAATGAAATGCCACTAAATGGGATCTTAGAAGTAGAACTGTTTGATATTTGGGGAATACATTTCATGGGACCATTTCCCCATCAAATAATTGTCAATACATACTAGTTGTTGTTGATTATGTGTCAAAATGGGTAGAGGCTATGGCTTTGTGTTGCTAATGATGCTACAAACGTGATTAAATTCCTTCAGAAGCATATTTTTACAAGGTTTGGTACCCCCAGGGCACTAATCAGTGATGAGGGTACCCACTTTGTAAATAACCTGTTAAGTGGAGTCCTTGAAAAATATAACATTATCCACAAGATTGTAAATGCCTACCACCCACAAACTAATGGATTAGCTGAAACAGAGAAATAAAGGGAATCTTAGAAAAGGCTGTCAAGCCAAACAAAAAAGAATGGGCTTTCAAATTAGATGACGCTTTATGGGCATACAGGACTACTTTTAAAACACCTATTGGTACGTCTTCATATAAGTTGGTGTTAGGTAAGGCTTGTCACCTCCCTTTAGAGCTAGAACACAAAGCATTTTGGGCCATTAAAGAATTAAATGTGTCCAAATGTTGCTGCCAGTAGAAGAAAGTTTCAACTTTGTGAATTAGAAAAACATAGGAATTTGTCCTATGAAAATGCCAAGATCTTTAAAGAGAAAACAAAGAAATGGCATGACAAAAGAATTCAGCAAATAGAACTTAGAGCAGTCCAGCAAGCCCTTTTGTTTAACTCAAGGTTAAAATTGTTTCCAGGAAAGTTCAAATCTCGATGGTCTGAACCATTCCTCATTCATAAAGTCCATCCTTATGGAGCAGTTGACCTAGTTAATCTAAAGGAAAATTTTGTGTTCAAAGTCAATGGTTAGAGAGTAAAGTTGTTTCATGACCCGATAGAATTTCCAAAGCTTTGCTCTGTGAATTTGATTACCACTTGCTAAAAAGCTTAAGTAGCTTATGGATTTTTTATAGTCCAAAAAGCTCTTTTATAAATATTTTATCTGCTCAATTTACGTTTTTTGCTTTATTAAAATAATAAGTTATTTTTAACATAATTTTTGTTTTTTTTTTGTGTTTTCTTTAGCTCTGTTCAGTAAAACGAGTAAATATTGAATTCTTGTTGTAGCACTGAAAACCCTAGTCCTTGATCAAGAAAATTGAAATCTTTGAAGCTCAAAGTATAAATATGGAGATGAAAGTACATGATGTCATCCTTGGAAAATAAATCTGAAAAACTGGACATCCTTTATACTTTCCCAAAGCCATGATGATACATCTTTTACAAAGCGTACCTTCTTGACAATGACAAGACCCCTTGCCACCAACTTTTCAAACATCTCATAGGCCTTGTCATAAAAATTGGCTTCCCCATGTAGCAATTCCTTACCTCCTAGTTGAAAACCAAATAGAGGTTCCATCAAGTACAACTTCTTTTGCTTAATCCCAAGGCTTATATCATAAGCCATCATCGTGAGTACCATCCTTAATCCCTAAAATGCCCTTTGAGTACCATCCTTAATCCCTAAAATGCCCTTCTCTCATCTAATCTCTTAAAGAAAACCCTTTTGTATTCCAAAAACCCACTTTCTTTCTTCCCTCCCAAAAACCGACCTTCAACTGCTTCTCTTCCCCCTTTGATCGTCAACTACTTCCTTGTTCAAACATCGACCGACAAAACTGCCATGGCACGAGTGAGGAGATCAATGGTGTGCGACCTTCCTCCACCACAGTCGACGGAGCAAGCCCCTGCGTCACCATCACAACCGGTGCACCCACTAGAACCACTAGCGTCAGTGGCTTTTGTTTATACTCCTGCTTCGCGAAAACAACCTGTAAGACGAGGGAAGAAGACTTTACCAGCAAGGAAAAATGATGAGTCATCGACTGTAATCATCTACGATGACTCATCACCACTAACAGCCTCTATCTCCCCTGCATTAGGAGAATCACCCATTGATGCTCCACCACTAAGAATGATACCATCCTCTGCTTTGATACCCTATACAAACCTTGTGAAGATACCAAGAAAAATGAAGGAAGCCCCAAAACCGGCTGAAATGGATGACCCAAAATCGATTGTCGCAACTACTGTCAAGGATGTGCCTGAAAACACACCCAAGGTACACTCTTCATCTGATCATATTCCCCCAGATGGTTTGTTCACCTCTGATTTTAAGGAGGGAGAGGAATATGCCTCAAAAACACAAACAGGGGACGTGTTGATATGATTTCTGAAAATGATGGCTACATTCTGGTGAACATCACCATTATTGAAAAGCCAAGGAAACCTCTTCCTTTGACTACCTCTGGAGAGCAAACAGGGATAGAGAATGAAATGCCCCCTTTCAGTCTTGATTATCCTATCCCTAACCTCAATGAGGAATTTTTTGAGAAAGAAGAGCCCCTTGTTGTTGTGCCCTCTAAAAAGAGGAAGAAGCTGAGCACGATCTCTGCTAAAAAGACCAAACCAATGGATGAGGGACCTTCTAGAAAGAGAACCAGATCAGGAAAGGAGAAAGTTATGGAAAGTCCCATTGAGTCACATGTGCACTCAGATAGCAGTGCTGTAGCATACAGGATTCGCCTAGACTAAAGAGGAAGAGGGGAGCAAAAGCCCAAAATCCAGCCACCATACCCAAACCATTAGAGTACACAATGGGTTTAGTTCAAAATTTGTTGAGAAGATGCATGCTAGGTTCCAAAACATAGTTGGTTTGCCTGATAAGGGGTTTGATAGGTAGAGTGTTGGGGAATTTTAGTTCATTAGGGAAGTGGTTGAAGCTTATGGAATGGAGCAACTCTGTGTAGTCTCCACATCCTATAATTTGACATTGGTTAGGGAATTCTATGTTGAGTTGACAGCCAATAACACTTCCAAGCTCAAGATTATGGGTGTTTCTTTCACATTCAACTCCAAAAGAGTCAACGGGCTCTATGCCCTAAACCCCCCTAAGAAGACTGATTACTCCAAAATGTTGAACAATCCCACCGTGGATGACTTGATTAAGGTGGCAGATGAAATAGGAAATCCTGGGGCAGAATGGGAAGAACATTCAAACTTCATGCTTATGACTTTTAGAGACTACAACCTCACTGCCAATGCCAATGTCTGGAATAACTTTTTGAGACATTCCATTGCCCCTACCACTCATGATAGTTCAGTTTCTGTGGATAGGATGTTTTTGTTGTATTATTTGATTACAGGGAAGTCTATTAACCTTGGAAAGGTGATAGAGAAGAGCATTAGGACTTGTACTAGGAGAAACAAGGGAAAGATGTATTTTCCTTATTTGATTACAAAGCTATTGGTGGAGGATGGTGTTCCTTAATATTGTGAGGACTAGATTGTGAAGGAGCAGAGGGAGAAGTGGAAGATTGACATGAAGAATGTGTCAAGGCTGAGGGACAAGAGCAAAAGATATTATATGTTTGATGCAGAACCTGCTGGCCCAAAACAGCAGCCTCATGGACAGCCTCTTGGAACAAAGAAATGAGTTCCTTAACAAAATAGATGGTTTGAAGGCTGATATGGCTGAGAAGGTGAGGGCAGCAGATAAGTAGACAAGAGGAGACATCAAGGTGATCAAGGTTGTGTTGGAGGCAAAGACTAGTGCTCAAATTAAGAAGACGAGAAAGAGGATGAGAGCTCTTAAGAAGGAGAACTCAAGGCTGTTTGATGAGAATGCAAGGCTGAAGGATGATTGCAAGGGATTGAAGGATGGCAGCTCTACTTCACCTACTCTTCAGGAGTAGGACATGTTCCATCATTTCCTTTCTAGCTTCATGGTTTATTTTATTTTCTTGAGTCTGGATTGTGTTTATAAGATTTTTTAGTTTATTTTCTTGCAAGAAACACTTATGTTGATAATTGTCATATACATGTATAGCCACAATAATTCTTGTAGTCTAGCTACCCTTCTAATCATTTAGTATTACTAGAACTAGCTTATTTTGTTTGAGAAAACAATGTGATCCACATCATATGCACATCTAAGAAAGGATATAGGCCTTTGTTCTTTTCTTTAATATCTAGCTGATATACATTGAGAATTCAATGTATAGAGCACTCATTTTACAAGTTTTTAACTAGATTGTTTTCCTTTTATCCCTATATTAAGCCATTTTATTACTTTATTTTTTTTTATTAATTATGAAGCTAAATCATTTGGGTTACTTGTTTCTACACCAAGTGGAGTCTAATGTAAAAAAAATTGCTGAACTGTTTGATGCTACAACATTGATGCAACAACGACCTGATGCTTTTTGGCTTATTGAAGATCTTAATGGGATAAACTGCTGGCTCTTTTTGGATTCTAGAAGATTTTAAGTTGCTGACTTTTGATGTAACAATTATTAAACTTTTGTTTGAAAATGTGTAACTAACTAGTTCATAGATGTACTTCCTAGTTACTTTTTTGTGGTTTAACCCTTCGGTTCTCCATTTTGTCACTTTGTGACTTGTTTTTGTATAAATAGGGGGGTTGGGCTCTTGTTATATCCATCCCAAAAATCATCTCTTAAAGTTGATTTCTCTTTTTAAACCTTGAAGAAATTTAAGTTTCTTAATTGCTTTTAATATTGTTCTTTACTTTTCGTCATTTAATTCTCGTTATTTACTTTCGGCTCTTTTATTTTTCCGCTATTTACATTAGGTCATTTACTTTACGCAATTTATATCTATGTCTTTACTTTCCGTTATTTA